AGAGCTGGATGAACACAGCAGGCCAAGCAGCATCATAGGAGCAGGAAGGCTGACGTTTCAGGCCTAGACCCTTCTGAAGGGCCTGCTGTGTTCATCCAGCTCTACACCTTGTTATCCAAGCCTCAGTGGGTCACTCTCTCACTCTCTCCCTCCACCACCAAGTCAGAAAAGGAATTGGTACAAGTGCCTAGTTCACAGTTCATGCCCCAAAACAGCCATGGCTGGCGCCGAGGGAGCGGGCGCTGTCCGAGGGTCGGCGCCGAGGGAGCGGGCGCCGTCGGAGGGTCAGAACACAGGGAATGCTGTACTGTACGAGGTGACAGAAATAGGGAGCATTTTAGGACATGGAGGAGGTGACAAAGATAGGGAGAGGACAGAGAGACCTTGGGGTTCAGGTACATAATTCCTTGAAGTTTGCGTCACAGGTAGACAGCGGGGTTAAGAAGGTGTTTAGCACGCTTGCCTTCATTGCTCAGACCTTTGAGTGTAGGAATTGGGGACGTTGGTGAGGCCTCTTCTGGAGCACTGTCTCCCGTTCTGGCCGCCCAGTTATAGGAAGGATATTATTAAACTGGAGAGGGTTCGGGAGAGATTTACCAGGAAGTCGCTGGGAATGGAGGGTTTGAGTTATAAGAAGAGGCTGGGACCTTTTTCACTGGAGCGTAGGAGGCTGAGGGGGCGACTTTATAGAAGTTTATAAAATCATGAGGGATATAGATAAGGTGAATTGCAGGTGTCTTTTCCCGAAGATGGGGGATTTCAAGACTAGGGGGCACATTTTTGAGGTGACAGGAGAGAGATTTAAAAAAGGCATAAGGGGCAATTTTTTTTTTTTGTTTTTTATTTTGTTGGTTTGTGGGATGTGGGCATCGCTGGCTGGGCTCAGCATTTTTTGCCCCGTCCCTAGTTGCCCCCCTTGAGAAGGTGGAGGTGAGCTGCCTCTATTTTTTTCAGGACCACTTCTGTCCACCCGACCCTCAGCGTAGTTCTTTCTAAGATTTTGACCCTGAAGGGATGGCGGACATATTTCCAACTCGGGACGGTGAGTCGGGGTGTGGGTGGGCGTTCCCACCTATCTGCTGCCCTTGCCCTTCCAGGGGGTTAGAGGTTATGGGTTTGGAAGGTGCTGTCTAAGGAGAGTTGGGGAGTCGCTGGAGATGGTACACACTGCTACGACCGAGTTTTGGGGGGGTGGGGGGGGGGGGGGCGGGGGGGGGGGGCGGGGCGCCAATCCAAACCAGGGGGTGGGGGGCTGCTTTTGCCCTGGATGGCATCGAGCTTCTCGGAGCTGCCCCCCACCGATCACAGAGCTTTGGACCCGGGGATTGGGGAGAGGGCGTGGTGGTCATGGTGAGCTGCCCTCCCTCAGTGCGGGGACTGGTTGCGGGGGGGGGGGGTAAGGGCACCATTTTTTCCTGGCTTCGCCCCTGACCTCCCGGCTCCCCCCCCACTCTCCCGCAGGTTCACAAAGTCTTTCCGAATGGCCTGGCCGCTCAGGAGGGGACGATCGAGCGAGGGGACGAAGTCCTGTCCATTAACGGGAACCTCCTGAAGGACATCAGCCACAGTGAGGCCCTGTCTTACCTCCACAAAGTCAGGCCTTCCAAGCAGGCCATCGTCGTGATCCGCAAGGTGCCTGAGTCGGAGAGAGCCGCCCTGCGCAGGGGAGGGGTCTGCAGCCAGATGCCGCTGGCCAGTAGCGACATGCCAGGTACCACCGCTGTGGGTCTGTTTTGAGTCTTGCTGTGCATGTTTCCCTCTCCTTCAGTTGGGGAGGGGGGGTCTGGACCAACAACACCGTCTGGCACAGTGCCCACTTTTGCTTCTGTCACGGGTATGTGGGCGTACGCACCCCCCGCCCCCCCCACCACAGTCGTTGCCCATCTCCCTACTTGCCCCTTGAAACCCTGCCTCTAGTTCTCAGGCAGTTGACAGTCAACGCTGTGGGCACGGTAGGCAGGGTCTGGAGTCACGTGTAGGCCCAGACAGGGTAGGGACTGAGACCGGGAGAAATGTCTTCACCCAGAGAGGGACTTGGGGGTCTGGACTCACGTGTAGGCCCAGACGGGGTAGGGACTGAGACGGGGAGAAATGTGTTCACCCAGACAGGGACTTGGGGAGGGTCTGGAGTCACGTGTAGGCCCAGACGGAGTAAGGACTGAGAGACGGGGAGAAATGTGTTCACCCAGAGAGGGGCTTGGGCAGGGTCTGGAGTCACGTGTAGGCCCAGATGGGGTAAGGACTGAGATGGGCGGAAATGTCTTCACCTAGAGAGGTGGGGAGCCAATGGAATTCTCCGCCATAGAAAACAGTTGAGGACAAGCATTGGATATTTTCAGGAAGTTTTTTAGGGATCAAAGCGTATGTTGGGGAGGGAGAAAGCTGGAAACAGGGGACTGAGTTGGATATTCAGCCATGATTGTTGTGGAATGGTGGAGCAGGCTCAAAGGGCCGAATGGCCTACACTTTTTTTTCTATGTGTCTATGCCCCTTGAGGGGGTATCTCAGTCGGAGTAAGACTGACAAGGGAGCGAAGAGGTTCTCGGCAGGGAAACAGAGTTGGGACCACAAATCAGCCACAAGCTTATGCAATGATGGGACAGCATTGATGGGCCAAATAGCCTGCTGCTGCTCCAAGTCAATATGCTTGCTTGAGAAGGTGATGTTGAGCCAGTTTCTGAAAGATGGGGTAATGAAATGTTGTTGCGGGTCTGTCATTGTATCTAGGCCAGACATGGAAAGGGGTTAGATTTCCGTCCCTGAATGACTTTGGGTTTTCCATCCATCTATCCACGTCTTGATAGATCAAAAAAAAAACCTTCCTGATCAAATCTTAAGATCCCGTTTCGCTACTTCTTCCCATTTCTGTCCTGAAGTGTTTTTGCATGAAATCTCATGCCACAGAAAGCTTAGACTTTCTCGTCTTCGTAATGAGCTGCTGATTGCTAACCAAACATTTCTGGTCTGGAGTTTCATGAGCTAAACTTGTGCGCATGGGTAACTGAGCCCTCCTTGCACTGTCCACAAGTCCTATCTCCAAGAGGACTGGGATTTGCTTCCAAATACACCCACTGTCATCGCTAAAACAGCCCTAAAATCTTGCTATCTCTGGGTTTCATTAAGCAGAAAATCTATCCCTGATTATTCAAGGTTAAAAGAAAGCTAATGCCTATCACTGTTTAGTCTCCCTGCTGTAAACTCTCCACAGTAACAACATAAAAGACTCCAAGAGGTTACCTGCTCTCTGACACATATTCATAGAGTCATACAGCACAGAAACAGGCCCTTCGGCCCAACTAATCTGTGTTGACCAGCTTTCCTATATTGAACTAGTCCCATTTGCCAGCATTTGGCCCATATCCCTCTAAACTCTTCCTATCCATGTACCCATCCAGATGCCTTTTAAATGTTGTAATTGTACCAGCCTCCACCACTTCCACCTTCCACACACGTACCACCCTCTGCGTGAAAAAGTTGCCTGTCAGGTCCCTTTTAAATCTTTCCCCTCTCACCTTAAACCTATGCCTCTCTAATTTTGAACTCCCCCACCCTGGGGGAAAAAAGACCTTGACTATTCAACCTATCCATGCCCCTCCTGATTTTATAAACTTTTAAACTTCTTCTCAGCCTCCGACGCTCCAGGGAAAATGGCCTCAGCCTATTCAGCTTCTCCTTATAACTCAAACCATCCCAGTCCCTGGCAACATCCTGCGCTCTCTCAGGTTTAACAACATCCTTCCTGTAGCAGGGAGACCAGAATTGAACACAGTATTCCAAAAGTGGCCCTAACCAATGTCCTGTACAGTTGCAACATGACCCTCCTAACTCCTATACTTAATATTCTGACCAATGAAGGTGTGCCAAATGCATTCTAGTTTTGGACTCCCCTACCCTGGGGAAAAGACCTTGGCTATTCACCTTATCAATGCCCCTCATGATTTTATAATTAAATGATTTATATATTGGATTAGTTCACTGTCCCAGAAGGACTCTCTGACCTTTTCTCTTCACTTGGTGCTATGGTGCGATTCAGTGCAGCCCTCTTGATTGGTCATCGTTCTGCTGTTGTGCCTGTTCAGTGAATATTAGGAAGGTGGTTCTCCCAGGATGTGACTTGTGTGTTTTCTCCCCACAATTCCCCCCGACCCTGGGTCAGAGAGTTTGGGAGAATTTATCACAGTCGAGCTGGAAAAGACAAGTACAGGACTTGGCTTCAGTCTGGATGGGGGCAAGAGCTCGAGTCAAGGAGACAGACCACTCACCATCAAGAAGGTCTTCCAAGGTACGAGGAAGGGGCTCTCAGCTCCTCCCTTTCATATCTGAGAGAGGGGTTTCTATCACTTTTCGGTTCCACACACCCAGAGGTCCTGGTGAAGTTTTGTGTCTGACTTAGCTCTTTCAGGGGGAATTACTGTCCCCCCACAGCTCGGAGCCTAAACTCCACACCCCACTAATTCCTCCCTCCCTCCCTCCCTCTCTCGCATGCTCTCTCTCTCTCTCCTTCCCCTTCTCCATCACTTTCTCTCTCACTCTCCCTCCTCTTCTCCATCTCTCACTCTCTCCCATTCTCTGTCATTCCTTTCCTCTGTCTCTCCTTCCCATTCTTTCTCTCTCTCCTCTTCTCTCTATCTCCCCATCTCTCTCTTTCCCCTTCTCTCTATCTCCCCTTCTCTCTCTCTCCCCTTCTCTCTCTCTCCCCTCTCTCTCCCTCTCCCCCCCTCCCCCCCCTCCCTCCCTCCTCCTCTCTCTCCCCCCTCCTCTCTCTCCCCCCTTCTCTCTCTCCCCCTCTCTCTCTATCTCCCCATCTCTCTCTCCCCTTCTCTCTATCTCCCCATGTCTATCTCCCCTTCTCTCTATCTCCCCATCTCTCTCCTCATCTCTATCTCCCCTTCTTTCTATCTCCCCATCTCTCTATCTTCCCATATCTCTCTCTCCCCCTCTCTCTCTCCCCTCCTCTCTCTCTCCCCTTCTCTTTCTCCCCATCTCTCTCTCTTTCTCCCCTTCTCTCTCTCCCTTCTTTCTCTTTCCCTCTCTCTTCTTCCCTATCTTCCCTTCTTTCTCTTTTACCCACGCTCTCTTTCCCCTTCTCTCTCCTCTTTTCTCTCTCTCATCCTCTCTCTCTACCCCCTTCTTTCTTCTTCCTTTTTCTCTCTTTTTCCTTCTCTCTCTTTCCCCTTCTGTCTCTTTCCCCTTCTCTCTCTATGTCTGTCTCCTTGTGCCCATCATCCCTCCTTCTGTCCCTTCATCGATTCCCTCCCCCCGCCAACCCTCATTCCTTTTGCCCTGTCCCCAATTCCCTCCACCCACTGAGAGGCACCCTGGTCACTCTGCCTGGACCTCACTCTCCACAGGGATTGAGAAGGGGTTGCGGGGGGGGGAGAGAGTGGGGCAAGGGGACAAGGTTCTGTTGTGGCCATTGGGCCCAGGTTCTGTCTCAGTGGCAGTGCCCTGCCAGGTGACCTTTGCCCCTTGGCGTCGCTAGGCCTCAGGCTCCTCATTGTCCAACTCTAGTGAAAGATCTACCTGCTCCGGTTTACACCCACCCCACTCCAGCAAAGTAGGCTGGACCTTTTTCAAAACAATATGCCTCTGCTTTGGTCCTCACCCCAGATCTGGGTAAGGTCCCTTTCTCTGTCATCATGTGACCTCCTTACCTGGACGCTAAGAGCAAGGTCACCTGATTCCAACGGGGATCCATAATAGGATAGCATGGAGCTATCCATGGTAATCCAGGATGTTGATAGTCGGAGGGGGGTGGGGGGTTTCAGTGATGTTAACACCATTGAATGTCAAAAGGTTAGATTCTTTCTTATTGGAGATGGGCATAGCCTGGCATTTGTGTGGCGGTCAGTGAAGACTGGGTGTGGAGGGGGGTATGTGGGGGTGCGGTGGGTGGGGACGAGTTTTGCGGGAAGCGAACTGACCTCTCTGTGCTCGGCTTTCAGGTGGTGCCAGCGATCAGTCGGGTTTGATCCAACCCGGGGACCAACTGGTTAAGGTGTGTGACCATGACTACCGGGGCCTAACTTGCTACGAAGCCTGGAATCTCATCAAGGCCCTACCCCCGGGCCCTGTGAAGGTGGTGATATGTAAAAAGACACTTTAAATAGGCAGAAGCGGGGTTGGCCCGCCGAGGGAAACATGGCCGCCACCGTGCGGAGCCGAGGACCCAACAGTGCGTTGAGATAGCTTCCTTCGTCCTTGCCTGTTTTTCTCGATCTCGTTTCAACAGCCAACTTGGACACTGTTATCTCAAGGATCCAGACAGACTCGAAAGGGACCAAATCGGTTTTGATGGAATATACCAGGCCAGATATTTGGCTGGAAAGGCCCCAGAGGTGTGGTATCTCGAGGTGGCCTAACCATAAACGGTTGGAATGATCATGTAATGTCAATGATTAGGCCTCACGTTAGTCCTGTCTTTAGTTCTGACCCTACCCCTCCCCTCCCCATCATTTCCCCAATGCCTCAGTTTCTATTGGCCTTGTAGAGGGGGCCCGGGCAAAACTGGGTATCGCTCTCCGGTGGTTGGAGTCATAGCCTGACACGTAGGAAGATGGTTGTAGTTGTGGGAGGTCAATCATCTCACCTCCAGGATGTCTGTGCAGGAGTTCCTCAGGGTAGTGTCCTAGGCCCAACCATCTTCAGTTGCTTCATCAACGACCTTCCCTCCGTCATAAGGTCAGAAGTGGGAATGTTCGCCGATGATTGCACAATGTTCAGTACCATTCGCGACTCCTCAGATACTGAAGCAGTTCATGTTCAAATGCAACAAGATCTGGGCAATATCCAGGCTTGGGCTGACCAGTGGCAAGTGACATTCGCGCCACACAAATGCCAGGCTATGCCATCTCCAATAAGAAAGAATCTAACCTTTTGACACTCAATGATGTTACCATCACTGAATCCCCCTCACTATCAACATCCTGGGGGTTACTATTGAGAGAGAATTTAATCATTGCCCCCTTGATGTTCAATGGTGTTACCATCACCGAATCCCACTCACTATCAACATCCTGGGGGTTACCACTGACCAGAAACTCAACTGGACCCAGCCCCCTATCAATACAGTGGCTACAAGAGCAGGTCAGAGGGGAGATGGTGGGGAGATTGTAAATTTCAAACCAGAGATTGCTAGATTTGTGAGCTGGGCAAGGAGACGGTTTCAGGATTATGGAGCGAAAACAGATAGATGGGGTTGAGGTACAGATCATCCATGGCCAAACGGAAGGCAGGACAAGCTCAACGGGCCGAATGGCCTGTTCCTGTGTTGCAGACTCGAGAGGGGCTGTGTTTTTTTTTTCCTTAATTCGTTCATAGGAACGTGGGGAGCATTGGCAGGGCCCAGGCATTACTGCCTGTCGCTAATTACCCAGAGGGCGGGTAAGAGTCAGCCCCTGTCGCTGTGGGTCAGGAGTCACGTGTAAGCCCAGACCCAGTGAGGACGAGAGACTTCCTTCACTACCTGACGTTTGCGAAGCCTACAGGGCTTTACAACAATTAACAGCATTCACTTGATCGCTGTTCGGCCGTCTTTCCAATGCCAGATTTTTATTGGACTTGAATTTCGCCGTTTGCTGTAGCGAGATTCGAACCTGCATCCCCCAGAACGTTGGTTCGGAAGTCTGGGGTTCGTCATTCACCATCGTCATCTAATCCTGTTTCTGTGCAACAGGCTCGAGGAGTGGGGTCTGAATGGCCTCCTGTTTCTTGTGTAACAGGCTCGAGGAGGGGGGCTGAATGCCCTGCTGTTTCTTGTGTAACAAGCTCGAGGAGTGGAGGGCTGAATGGCCTCCTGTTTCTTGTGTAATAGGCTCGAGGAGGGGGGCGCTGAATGGCCTCCTGTTTCTTGTGTAACAGGCTCGAGGAGGGGGGTGCTGAATGGCGTCCTGTTTCTTGTGTAACAGGCTCGAGGAGTGGAGGGCTGAATGGCCTCCTGTTTCTTGTATAACAAGCTCGAGGAGTGGAGGGCTGAATGGCCTCCTGTTTCTTGTGTAACAAGCTCGAGGAGTGGAGGGCTGAATGGCCTCCTGTTTCTTGTGTAACAGGCTCGAGGAGGGGGCTGCTGAAAGACCTCCTCTTGTTCCTATGTAACAGGCTTGAGGAGGGGGCTGAATGGTCTCCTGTTCAGGGTGGGGAGGGGGGTGAATGGCCTCCTCATGTTTCCCTATAACAGACTCGAAGTGGGTGGGGGCGCTGAATGGCCTCCTCCTGTTCCTGTGTAACAGGCTCCGAATGGGCCTCATTGTGAGTTGTGTTTACACTGCTGCTTTGTCTGAGCGGGGCTGGGGGGAGAGCACAGTGGGCGGGTGCGCGTTCTGAGCAAGCCTCGCTTAGCAACAGGCTGCTGATTGGGCAGGGAGTCGTTGGCGTGACAACACCTCTCTGACTCCTGGGGGGACGGACAGAGAGTGTGAACCATGCAGAGAGACTGCAAGAGACAGTACCTCGCAATTAATGCGTCAATTAAAAAAACCGAAAGATCTGCAGATGCTGTAAATCGGGAACAAAATCAGAAGTTGCTGGAAAAGCTCAGCAGGTCTGGCAGCAGGAAAAAAAATAGAGTTAACGTTTCGGGTCCAGTGACCCTTCCTCTGAACTAGAACTCAGTACCAACCCAACTTATGTCTTCAGAAAGAACTTGCTTCTCATACAGTTGAAAAAGGTGTTTGGTACACTTGCCTTCATTGCTCAGAGAACAGGAGTTGGGACGTCATGTTGAGGTTGTACAAGACATTGGTGAGGGAGCAATGTGTCCAGTTCTGGTCACCCAGTTATAGGAAGGATATTATCAAGCTGGAGAGGGTTCAGAAGAGATTTACCAGGATGTTGCCGGGTATGGAAGGTTTGAGTTATAAAGAAAGGCTGGGACCTTTTTACACTGGAACGTAGAACGTTGAGAGGCGACCAGATAGAAGTTTATAAAATTATGAGGGGCATAGAGAGAGTTAATGGTAGGTGTCTTTTCCCTAGGATGGGGGAATTTCAAGACGAGGGGGCACATTTTTAAGGTGAGAGGAGAGGGATTTAAAAAAGACACAAGCAGCAAATTTTTTACACAGAGGGTGGTTCATGCGTGAGATGAACTTTCAGAGGAAGTGGTGGATGTGGGTACAGTTACAACGTTTAAAGGACATTTGGATAAGTACATGGATGGGAAAGGTTTGGAGGGATATGGGCCAGGAGCAGACAGGTGGGACTAGTTTAGTTTGGGATTATGGTCGGCACGGACTGGTTGGGCCGAAGGGTCTGTTTCTATGCTGTACAACTCAATGACTTTGTAACTAAAAGGATTCGGTTACGACGATCGGAGAGGAGATGCACCCTGTAAAAAGCAGAATGGACAACTTATCGAATCCTGTGGCCCTACTGAACTGTATTTCGCCAGTAGTTTTCTGGTTGTTTGTGTTTATTTGTACGTGTGTGCAAGGGTTTAGAATTCCAAACAAGTAGATTGATGTCTGTAAGTCATATGTTTGTGAATCTGTAGTTGGATTGAAAGTAGTTGGATTGATTGTAGTTGAAAATGGATTCATAAATTGTAGTTTTTTGCTAAGTACGGAAACCCGGTCTGTGATTTCTGAGTCCATCGGACAGACAAACTGAACGATTTAAGAACATAAGGAAACACGAGCAAGAGTCGGTCATCGGGCCCCTCGAGCCTGCTCCGCCATTCAATAAGATCGTGGCTGATCTTTTCGTGGACTCAGCTCCACTCACCCGCTTGCTCGCCATAACCCTTCATTCCTTTACTGTTTCAAAATCTGTCCTTCCCTTGAAAGGCAGCCTCACTGGGCAGGGAATTCCACAGATTCCCAACCCTTTGGGTGAAGACATTCCTCCTCAGCTCAGTCCTAAATCTGCTCCCCCTTTATTTTGAGGCTGTGCCCCCACCTCGTTCTAGTTTCTCCCGCCAGCGGAAACAACCTGCCTGCTTTTATCCTATCTATTCCTTTAATAATTTTATATATTTCTATAAGATCCCCCCCACCTCATTCTTCGAAATTCCAATGAGTATAGTCCCTGTCTATTCAATCTCTCCTCATAAACCGACCCTCTCAATTCCACAACCAATCTAGCGAACCTCCTCTTACACTCTCTTTCTCAAGTAAGGAGACCAAAACTGTACACAGTACTCCAGGAGTGGCCTTACCAGCTCCCCATACATCTGCAGGATATTTTTGCTTAAATCTTGAACATCTGCGATGACCCCGAGAGTAGGGAGGCTCTCCGAAGTGGGCCGTGATGCCTTGGCGTGGACAAATTCCACCTCACCCCCCTGCAAAATCGTTGACCCCTTACACCCCAAGGCCCCTGCTCTAGATTGCCCAGCCTGGAGAGCGAGGGAGGCAGTCTCACTGTACTCACCTAAGGCTGGGTTAGGTTGATTTGTGATCGAGTGAAAGATTACCTGGGGAGGGGGGGATCAGGCGAGAAAGTGGCGGAGAAAGCTGACCATCTCGGCTTTCGAACCACGTGCCAGCCTCTGATCGCAAAAGTGTGATGGTGCAGGCCTTTCGGGCCATGAATAGGGGCCATGGGGACATGAATAGGAAGGGTTTAGAGGGATATGGGCCAGATGCTGGCAAATGGAACTAGATTAATTTAGGATATCTGATTGGCATGGACGAGTTGGACCGAAAGGTCTGTTTCCGTGCTGTACATCTCTATGACTTGACGTCTCATCAGTAGGGTTCTGAGCCTAGTCTTTGATAATCATTGTGCAAGTCGCAGATATTGGCTTACAATTTGGCCGGGGGAGGGTAGGGTGGTTGGAAAAATACTTTAAACCCCCTTTTTCCAAAGTCTCCTGATTTCTCTCTCTCTGAACTCCAACTGCTCCATTGCCTTTAACTAAACATTTTGAGCTATGGACCGAAAATGAGAATTATCATTTATCTCATTAGAGATGGAAAGAAAACGAGGGAGGAAAAAACTTTTGGTATGGAAGCTACCTGCTGCACTGTCAGGTCAAGGGATGGTGGGGGGTGGGGGGAGAAGAATTTTGGTGGGGGTTACCTTTAATTGCTCGGCGACGGCGCGGTTTTACTTTACGGCAAGAAGTCGAGGTGATGGGGCAATCTGGTTTACGGCAAGAGGTCGGGTCTGGGATCCCAATCCACTTTACGGCCGGAGGTCGGGTGGCGGCGACAATCCACTCTACGGCAGGAGGTCGAAGCCGGCGTCCCCGTTCACTTTACGGCTGGAGGTCGGGAGGCGGGGACAATCCACTCTACGGCAGGAGGTCGAGTGGGACGGTGGCGCCGCCATGAGCTTGTTCGGTTTGTTCCGAGGCTTCTTCGGCTTCCCGGAGCGGGGCGACGGCCGGGGGTGAGACACCGTGTATACAGCTATAAATATACCCCAAATACCCCTTAATTCATCTTAAAATACCCCCAATTCCTACCATTATAATCCCCTATCCCTCAGGGAATCGGGGTGGTGGGAGGGACACCCTTTAAATACCCGAATAGATCCTTAAAATATATAAATATCCCGAAAATGCCCAAATAGATCCTTAAATACATAAATATGTCCTTAAATATCCCTAAACTACCTAAATATATCTTTTAAATATCCCTAAAGTGCCCAAATAGATCCCTAAATATCCCGAAATCTGTAAATATATCTTTAACTATGCCTAAAATATGTAAATGTATCCTTAAGTATCCCTAAGATGCCCAAACCCACCCTTAAGTATCCCTGAGATGCCCAAACCCAC